ATAGCTAACTTCCAGTAGTCGCAATCCAGCATAGACAGGTTCATAGTTACTACCTTTGTTTCATTAGAAAAGGATTTCCGACCATTACTTTACGACGAACATACAACCACCTGCCCGGCACTGATGATGTCCAATAGGCTGAAACAGCAAATTACACATATGCTCGGAACTAACCGAGCATGTGTTGTTTTCCGTTTTCGGCAACCAAGTATTCTCCATCTTTGTAATGGGTTGCTTCACGCTGATGAGGCCAATAGCTAACAACAGTGTCCGCAGTTTTCCTCTTTTTTGACCATTATGGAATTGTTGTGGAATTGGCCGCGGTGGTAGTGCGCCCGACTCACGATCGGAAGGCCGTGGGTTCGATTCCCGCCTCGACCAGATATTTTTCTCGAGAGAATTTATCTGGTTGAAGCTAGGATGATTCTGCAACTGTGTTAGGAATCACACGTTAAAAGGTAAGACCTCGTTAGTCCTTAGCTCGCACAAGTTTATATCAACTTCTGAGAATTGTCGTTCGTATGGGGGCGACAGCTGATTAACGGTAAAACAGATTTAAAACAGATTATGTCCCAACGAAAATTTGACACGCCGGTTTTTATTGATGATATCGTGAAAAACACCTCGGGCATATCAATTTTAGATTGGAGAGGGTCATTTTGTTTTCCTACCTGCAGCACCGTCACTTCAAACCTGGAGCAGTGGAGTGGAGCAGTTGGTAAGGATCAAAATAAGTGTTAAGTTGAATTGACTTATATTCTCATCGCAACAAATGCTCGTAATGTGCAGACTCTACGATTCGCCATCGTCTCAGACGACATTATCAAGACTTATAACTGAATGCTCTTTATTCCTTTATTCATGAGTGGTAACCCTCAGGGGCAGGGTAACCCTCTTGGTGCTCTATTCTCGAGAAGTGGCAATATTTTTCCAGTAGAAGGTGCCATCAAATTGAAGTAATTTGACATTCTAAGGCACGTGTTGATCATTGCGGCCAGTTAAATATGACGTCAACTTCTATAGCATTACTCAAGAATTAGATCTCTGAACAGTTCACTGCTATTCGTGCCACTAGTTTTCTCCGTAATGATCGTGTATGCCAATCTTTTTCTAACCATGCGAAAGATCCTTCTCCTCCTTGTACCCTGGATGATTGATTATAAAATCAGAATAATGCACCCTCAATATCCAAATATCCAAATTATTGTTCTCACAAGCATATTCTGTTTCTCTGTGACCTGACATGAAGCCACTTCCATTGACATACCTGACCTGTACTCATATTGGTTTGTAGAATCCCTTATTTCAAACCCATCCGGTCTAAGTGAGTTTCTAGGTTTGCCTTATAGACTTCCCAGTTTGATTTTCCGCAGTTTTGATATAATATGATCAAAGTATGAGACCGTCCGATTTATGAAATTATTCAGTTAAGGATATATCATAATACAAATATCCTAATATTTTGATTCTACCCGTTATTTAATTAACTAATTTGAAGGTGTGCAAAATGGGAAACTTTTTTATTATCGATTTCTCAGAAAATTTTATTCTTGACAAAAGTTGGTGCATGTTCCAAAACTATACCATACAGGATAGACCAAAAAATATAAAATTCGTTCAAGAGTAAAGTACCCTTATTGCAAAAAATATAGAAATATGTTGAAGAGAAAAGTTGCTTAGAATTAAAAGTTTGTTCAGATACGAAGTCATGGCCTGCTATTCGATTTTTTTTTCTTTTGGAAAATTTAGAATTACCCCCGTATGATACATAGTTTTACTATTTTGAATTGTTTTTGCCGTTCTTCTAATACCATATCATCCAAAAACTCTCCTATTTCAGTTTCCAAAAAGTTCAAGTACCTGTCACCATTCAAATTCTCGCGAAAAAAACCGGACCTAGTAATTCATCATTTAATATACCACACCAAATGTTTGTTTTCTGATAGTATTGATTTTTGTTGTCAATAATAAAATTTGGGTTGACATCTGACTATACCATCTGCAATTTTGTGATGATAGAACCCCATTTGTTGTAAAAGTAGATTTATTTTCAAACAGAATACATCGATGAAAATCTCGTTGTTCTTCTATTTCACTCTGAATCCATATGGAAAAATCATATCTCAAATCATAGTCTCTTTCTTGAAATGTACAAATGAATGTAGGTTTGTAAGCATGGTACTTATGTTTTTTGAGAATACGTTTCACAGAGGTTTTTTATGCCGGTATAATCACTATTTCTTGGGTGGACCTTCTAGGATTTTCTACTACTGCTTGAAGTTCGTCAAGCTGGTTTTCTTCTGTGCATACAGGTTTCGTACGCTCCGTATTATGTTTATATTCTAGTGAGCCGGTCTGTTTGAAATTCTTTAAAATTCTACTTACACTTGAATAGCAAATTTGTTTGTCTGGATGCCGCTCGTTGAAAATATTTGCAGCTTCGCGCATTGTTTTATAACCATCACCACAGATTAAAACTAATTCTGCCTTTTCAGTTAACGTTAATAATACTGGACGAGGCATTTTTATTGAGGACAAATATGAAAACGTTTTACAGGCAAGTTTTAAGAAGCCACACTATCAAACTACAGTATCGTTTTAGGGCGTATGTGTTTTTTGTTCATGGCTATCCGCGATAGATTTTGGATTGTTTTTTAATATCTGTTCTAGTTGAGGCATTGTTGTCAGAATGAAAGAAATTTTATACTTTTATTGACAGTTTATTCATATGAACATTTAGTTAGTAAAGTATTTGCCTCGTTAAAAAGAGTGTTTTATTCTAGAGTTATGTCACCTAAAAAAATACAAATCCAAGTAAATTTTACAAATACACTTCAATTTGATAAAAAATACTCCAAACTAATTTGTTTGGGGCTACTTCAAATACATATTAAATCAAAATAGTAAAAATATGGAAATTACGTATTCCATTTCTTGATGCTTTTTTACGCTATACAAAGAACCTACCTGCATATTTCAAGATTCTGGGCTCAGTAGCTTCGGCTGTACGTTAATATGAGAGCGAGGGCAACAGCTTGTAATTTATATTATTGCTTTGAAAATACAGTTACTAAAAAATATGCCAACTGCACTAAGTAATGAATAGCTTTGAGAATCAAATTATGTTACCTACAAAGAAATTCGCAAAACTAACACAGCCGTCAACGACGTTTGCCCTCACGCGTCTGCCTGTGTTCGGGTCACGTTCTCGGTGATGGCGCTTCATTGCTTAGACCGTCCCTATACCCCCTCGCATCGTCCCCCGTCGTCTCACAGTAGACGCGACGCATAATGGCATACTGCGATTTTGCATATAGTGGCTACCACATAAGAGGCAGAGATACGCTTTCGCGGACTTTTATTTAGAACTATTTAAGATAAACAATCTTACGATACATTATCTGCATGTAACACCAACGGTATAGGCAGTGCACGCCAAGATAGCTCTCAGGGATCAAAAATGTTTCCGACTTACTTAATACTTATCGTTATATTATGATTAAAATTACACAAAATCTTTGTAAATTGTAGCCTATATGTTATTCTGATGTATGAGCTGTATTCATGTACATCACATTTTATATTAGTATAGATAGATAGATAGATGAAAGAGTTACCATATAAAATTTCACTTACATAAAAGACTATCATCCTGACGGATGAAGCAGTAAATTCATTCATAACATTTCAACTTCATGTCACGGCCGAGACAAATCTACTCATGTCCGGATAAAAATTCATAAAGACATTCATACGTTTATTTGATTAAATTCCAGCTTTTATAAATTTTATAAATTGAAGGGAGTACATGTTCAGGGGCAATGAGTTTTTGGGAAAGAAAAAATAATAGATGTAGATAACGTGGTAAGAAATCATCATGAGAAAAAGAAATGAAATTTTTTGTTTTTTACCACTTTTATATATAAGTTTGAAAGTTTTCTTATAGGACGAAACTGCAGTAACGTTAGTTACAAGTAAAAGTGGTAAAAAACATAGAAAATTACATTTATCATTTTTCATGATATTAAGAAACCTTTCTTTCCCAAAAATGATTTTCTTCAAAAATATAACTCTTTTAATTCAAACAAGATTCCTATGGCTGACATATGCTGCTGATGAGGTGATAAGGCAACTTTATTATTCCGAAACATTGTGTAGCAATCCTGTGAATATCTGATTGGATTTCATAAGGAATGGTTGTAGTACAAACTGAATAGGAAACAGTGTTTTTGTATAATTCAATGTTTATATGAAAGTAGTTGTCTGGAAATGCTTTTTCCCAGTTTTTGTTTGAAGTAACTTCTATGACTCTACACAATCTTGTTAAGAGTTTACTTTGAACTTTTTCTTCTGTTTTCTTCCTTTTATCGAAAGTTCCTTACATTTTTTGTATAAAGATGAAGTAGAAAGCCAAAAACATTTCCTTCCCATTCATAGTTTGAACTCGATATTTTTTTAAATTTAGACATTGAAAATTTACATCCCTTCCACAGTTTCGTAATATTGTACAATTTCCTATATAAATGTAAATATATCTACTTCGTGCGAAGTATTATTACATGGGTCATCAATACCTAACGTGATGAAACACGTATAATCCATTTCTTCTGTGGAGTGGAAAACGTTTGTGTTTAATCGGCGAGAGTTAAGATGATAGCTTGCACGGTGTATATTGAAGAAAAATCACATACATACAACCGTGAGTTATAGCCATGTCGTTCGATTTTCATTTAATGTGTTGATTCATTACGAATACGCAAATTGACGACACATATGTTAAAATTTATTGACCGTTATGAAAATATGTTTTTATTATACTCCAAACTAATCGATAACATATCATCTGAAAGGCGAATACATACATTATTATTACGTATTATTATTATTTATTTATTTGGAAGTAAGCAATGAGGAGTTGGCACTGTCAATTATCAACACCGATTCGTCGGTAAACAAAAAACACCCTGTAGAAAATAAAACTGTCCATATATCGCTCTTACCTTCATTCATTGCCATGTCCATTAACTGAAGATCTTCGTCGTTGAGGATCGAAGAAAGGAAACCATCAGTTTGATTCATTTCTGACGAGCCGTTCTGTGGAGAAGAAAAAAAAAAGATTAATTGTTTTTCAAATGTCAGGGTAACCGGCGACATCAAAAATATTCGAGCTGAAGCACACGAAAAACGTTCAAAAACGTTCAGATAGCGTGTTTAGGCGGTGGGCGTTATCCGATCTTGACGTGACTGATGGAATTCATACAGCGCACAGGGCGTCTCGTGTAATGCAACAACGGATTATTAAGAGCATAGATTAAGATATTTTCAACTATACAAAATACACATAAAAATACATTTTTTCATGGCATTTCCTAAAGGAGTTATTCAATATTTGCATCACTTTGCAGAAATCGATTGTTCTACGACTGAAAATCCTCAAGGTGTGTGAAATGAAAATATTTTTCATGTTTTTCCTGTGTTAACGGCGTCTACCATTGTCTTGCACTATATTTAATTTGATTGTATTCTGGAATCCTACTGACTTTGTCATACAGGATTTGTAGTAAAAAATTAAACTGAAAATGCTCGATTTTCGAAGCGTACCTACATTTTCAATCGGGAATTCTTGGGATATTTTTCAAAGAATCGAGTAGTCACTACATTACTTGTCTTTTATTTCCTAGGTGAGCTTACAGAGTTGATTTATCTTTTTTAAATATTCATAAAATCAAAGAACTTGAATTCATTTCAAATTGAGGGGATTATGGTTCGTCTCAAAACGGACGAGTCATTTTCTCAATCTTATTGCTCGGGTACTGTTATCGTTGTTTTATAATTTGTTCCAGTTTTCATATAGGTTTTGGGAATTCAAATAAACTCCTAAAAACATATTGTCCAAAAAATTAAAGACCAATGGAGCTAATGTTAGCGATTCCTAACGTAAAAAAATCAATTAATAATGTGTTCTCAAAAAACACTGAATCTGGAAGGATGTTGAATGATTGCTATATAATATGATTAACATCAGCAGAGTACATAACATTTTTTAGCATATGTTGAAATATACAGGATGTTGATTAAGTATGTACCTACCATAAATTCAACAGACGATTCTTTAGGTAATTTTAAGACGAAATGTTCATATAAACATGTGTCCGCAAATCCTTCGTTCTCAAGATACAGGGTGTTTAGCATTTAATAAGCAACTTGACAGTTGTCAACTTTATAAGCTTTTAATTTATAATTGTTATAAAAAGTGTGTTTAGTGGTTATTTTTCGAACCATTTTTGTAAAACATGGTTCAATTTACTAACAGTGAAATGACAGATATGCATTTCTGTTATGGAATGGCTCACGGAAACTCGAATGCTGCAAGACGCATTTACCATTATTTCCTCAGCATGTATTGCCTAATAGAAGAACTTTTGTACGTCTCCATGCACGACTTTCTGAAACAGGCAGTTTTAAAAGATCGACGGTTGTCATTGGGAGGCTTGCAACGGTACGTACAGTTCAAATTGAAGAAGCTGTTTTAAATGAGAGAAGTAAATCCTCATACCAGTACTCGGAAAATAGCTGAAGAACTGAATATTACCCATGCCACAGTGTGGCAGATTTTAAGAGCCCAGCAGCTATATCCCTATCACATGCAACGTGTGCAAGCTATATTGCCCAGATATTTGCCTGTAAGACTAGCTTTTTCTAATTGGTTACGCGGTAAAATAAGAAGAAATTCAAGTTTCCTAAGTCGAATATTGATTACAAATGAAGCTTGTTTTTCTCGCAATTCAATTATTAACTTCCATAACAATCACATTTGGGCCGAAAACAATCCACACGCCTTGATTGAAAAAAAAATCCAAGAACAGGTTTCTTTTAATATTTGGGTTGGAATTGTCGGTGACCATCTCATTGGGCTCACTTCCTTCCACCTAGACTTAATGGAGAAGAATACCGAAGGTTTTTAGAATTTGTTTTACCTGGACTTTTAGAAGAAATTCCAGTCATGGAAAGATTCCGTATGTGGTACATGCACGACGGTGCTCCACCACACTTAAGTGTAGTGGCACGGCAATTTTTGGATGAAAATTACCATATTCGCTGGATTGGGAGAGCAGGCCCACACCCATGGCCACCTCGCTCGCCCGAAATGAATCCCTTAGATTATTTACTCTGGGGATACCAGCGTTGGTATACAAAATTGCTATTCAAAGTGAAGAGGATTTACGGAATAAAATCATTAATTCATGATACGCCAGGTATTTTCAGAAGGGTGCGAAATTCAATGATGCGGCGGCTAGACGGTTGTATTGAAGCCGAAGGAGGCCATTTCCAATACTTAATTTAGTGCAATTCCAGGGGAGGTCCAGGAAAATGCAATTAGGTCGACTTTTTTTTTCTTAAAAACTAAGCAAGATACGAAAACAATTCAAAAGACAAAAAAGTTGTATTTCTAATTGCTTAATCCAAAGAAATGATGAAAATTGCACAAAAGTCAGTGGCGTACAATTTCAAGTCACAAATATTCGTTCAAATCCCGCTCGAGACGAATCACGTTCGAGCTAAATTAGCTCCTTAATGTTATAAATACCATTACCAAATTACCACAAAATTAGGTAAAGGATATTTACGAATAACTTTTTTTATTTTTATTTTAACACCCTGTATCTTGAGAACGAAGGATTTGCGGTTTTATGTTTATATTTATGTGCACGTTAATATGCACATTTCGTCTTAAAATTACCTAAAGAATCGTCTGTTAAATTTATGGTACATACTTAATCAACACCCTGTACATCTGTAACTTAGTAGAAATTCTACCGAGGAAGCTACGGTGTTAGCAAAACACGCATATACAAATCAAAAAAATGTTTGTGAAAATTGTTTAATCATTTTCATGGATAGTTTTCTCTTGATGATTAGCCACCAATACCAATCTATCAGGGGGCTGGCAGACTGGTAGAGGTAGACACCAACAAACTCCCCAATACCATAAACTGTCCATCAACATATTTTTTGTTGTGATGCACTGTTTGGAACCTTTGGTTTAGTAATGAATATTACTGGAATTTTTCCCAACACCAGTGATGTTCATATTTGTAGTTGAAAATATACTTGATAACGCCTAGTCGTCTGAAACTTCGCTATTCAATAGATTAAACAAGAGCAAAGAAAATAATCACGTTGACCTTATTATTGAGAAACTAAAACAAAGACTGCAGATTGGGTATCCACAATCTTGTAGAATAACTTCACCAGAAAAATCGTGAAAGATATGCCTGCTTTGGAAATATCTGGTTTTGTCATCCCACCTCATTCACCATTATTATTGCTAAAAGCTACAATTATTAATGACGTCAGTTAGGAATATTTCTTTTTTTCGTACCATAATTTGTTTGAATATTACTGGAGTTTAATCCCAACACATAATCGTTATTTTCAACACCTAGACACGTGTTTCAATCTCCAAGTGATCATCTTCAAGAGGAATTTTAATCTTGGTGACTGAAACACGTGTCGAGGTGTCGAAAATAACGGTTTGGTGTTGGGATAGAACTCTCTAAAGATATTTTGTCCATTGATGATTTTTGATAGGCCGCTTTGTTTCGAAGATATGGAGAGAAAACATTTTTCGACAATAACAATTTATTACCAAAAATTACATGTTATGTTTCCCAATATACAAGAACTGTTGGAAATGACTAACCCCCCCTCGGATGCAAGAATCCAATTTTTTCCCCATCGACTCCCAAACTATTTCAAAAACACAGGATCACTTACGAGACATACTATTCAAATTGAATGTCTGCATCACTTGTAGTAATCGAAATGTTGTTGTAGGTACCAACGGAATTGTCAGATTTTTTATTACTTGGTAGATCCGGTGTAGTACGCTATACTTTTATTTCGGCTACGTTAATAACTTTAAAATTACTAAAATTCTATTTCGCCCTGTATCTTCAAAAAAGCGCTTTATCAAAAATCATAGTCCCTTAATTGTTTGCCGCATGTTTAATAAACACCCTGTGTAATAATCAGATGCGACCCGTTTTGTATAATGCTTATTTTGTACACCAAACACACTGAAGCTCCAAACAAGACAATGGAATTTTTATTAAATCGTTGATGATTTTGAAACACGTGATAAGGGTAGTATTTTGGTGATATACATGGAAAACGTCAACATGTCGTTGCGAGATGACCTAAACTCGAACTGAATGAGATGCGATACAACCACAGATACGCAATACATATTATATAGATACTCCTGCCTAATTCTTTCCGAGTGAAAAAAAAATCTTTGCTGCGACGGCTAAAAACCGACAAATGATAGTTCCGCCCTTACTGTCACATGTGTCAAAGTGGTACCGATAAAATGCAGCAGTACTCCGTCTCCACTAGCCGTAACATAACGTTACAGGTAATTTGTTAACAATGGATACGTGCAATAAAATTTCTGATATCAGAGAGAGCATACTTTTTTGCCTGAGTTCTAATAATTCCGAGAACGGAAATAAAGCGAGGCTATATATCTAAATTATGTCACGATAACCGCTTCTTGTTCATATTAGTTGATCAAATCACGTGTAAAATCAAGATATATTTGTATCGTGATGTTCATCACCCTACATACTGTTTTCAATATGAATCCTGGAGCTCCATCCATTCCAATGGAGGAACCTATTGTTGACCTGTGATCCAAAAACATCAATATATTTTCTAACCATAGCTAATGGAAAAATTAGACAAAACAAATTTTTCTAACCATAGCTTATGGAAAAATTAGACACAATTTATGATGGTTAAAACCAATGCATAATAGATACTAGAATGAAATTTTGACCATCAAAATAAATCACAGTTCTCTAATAGAATATAGAATCACGAATGTTAACAAATGATAATGACATTAATGAATGAGTATGAAACGGCAATAACCACAAATTGTAGTCATAACTGTATAATCATTCTATTCTAGTTTTCCTGAACATCGTAAAGAAGAGCACAGTGGTATTCAAAGGCGGATTTAGATCTAAATTACAGGGGAGGTTACTTCTGAATTTCGGAGGGGTAATTTTCAAGAGGATTAATTTATATATGAACGTATTTGCGTGTATAATCGTATATTACGAGTATAATACTCATTTCAAATATACTGAATGCTCAAAACAAACCCTGCTCCCAGAACTGCTTCTCAACGCGCGTTTCACCAACCAAGTTGGCGTCTTCAGGACGAATCCCGTACTTCTCAAACTGGTCTCTATTCCAATAGCTAATCTGTTTCTAAGCAGATTTCAATTGGAAGTGAAAGAGGAGTAAGATTACTTTCCACGAACTTGGATCCGATATGGAACTGAAGTATTTGCGATTTTTTCACAAAAAAATCTAACAACAAGGAGTTACCATTCTTAGAGATTGGAAGCAACCAGGATCTAGAATTTGATGACTATAAGAAAACAACCAGTACTTTCAGATATATTCCAGATAACTTTCACCATTGTCCACATCATATAATAGCAGGACTGAACTTTCTTGTTCATAGGCGTGTTACATTCCCCCTGAGTGAAGAAAGATACGATTTTAAGAAAAATATTATCAGGGGCTCAAGATACACTGACGGATTAGATCAAATTTTCAAAATGCTGAACTGAAAAGTAGTCTTCAAAACTTGTTGCTGAGCACTCCAACAAATATTAGGTAACTATTGAGACAAGATATTGGAAAATAAAAAGTCGATGATATGAAATGTTACAAGCGAGCCATTAAAAATCATTTCAAAGAACACGCAGTACATATCCTATTTCTAGTGTTGCTCAACACGCCTTGGAGGACGGCTATAGAATAAATGAAAACTGAAATTGTTGAGATCGATACATGACACTAGATTTTTGGATGCGTTCAAAAGCCTGGAAATAGCAAAGTGTGGCACTATGGACAGTGACAAAGGTCCCATTCCAAACAGTCTATTGTTCATCTTGATATGATTCGCTCTGTTGAAATTAGCGGACACTTCAACGAGATAATGTCCAGTGAATTTCTATCCGAAATCATTTATGCGTGTAGAGTGTACCCTGTTATAAATAAATCGAGACCAGTTTTAGAGTTAGGAATTAGTTTACTTCATCTTCTGAATACGCCAACTTGGTTGATGAAACGCGCACCCGGAAGAGTGCTGCAGTTCTAGTGTTCGGGAACACTGCTTCTTTTGGAACTGTACTACGCCAGATGTTCCAGTTCTACCTTCCATTTCAATATTCAATTTTGATGTCGGGAAGGTAATTACTCCTTATAAATCCGACCTTGGTTGTATTTGTGCTGCTTGTTGTTGTTTTCAAAATGTCTTTAAGTAAATGAAGAATGCACCCTTTCTGGTATTTTATTCCTCGTTCGTTAAAATTAAAATTATTTCAATGTTTTTCAACATGGTTGGTAACAGGTCTATTGATCAGTATTTACACTGTTTCCATGGTGTGGCACACGAATAATTCGAGAAGTCCAAATCAAATAGTGTTAAGGATAACCCATCACTTGCACTAGCTGTTACCTACACAGAAAGCACAAAACCTGTAGTAAAATTCACTTATAAAGGATTGGATGCAGGCGGATTTTTTCTCAAATGAGGTATGTTGTTTTTTCAACAAAATTTTTGTCCCATTCTGAAAAAAACATTAAAAAAATTGATTTGGTCTACGGAACGTATAAATAGACAAGTATCGACAAGGATGACTTCAGTTTCAAGTTCAGCTACCAAGCAGAGCACATAAATATGCACATATACACTCAGGATTGAGGCCGTAGCCAAGGGGTTATCAAGGGGGATTGATCCCCCCAAAAGTTCTACAAGCAACGGTCATCCAAAAGTTATATTAAATACAACGATTGGCTTGTTTGAACATCACAGGAGCCATGAGAATAACACCAACCGCGGCAATGGAATTAATTACTGGTCTGTCTCCTCTGGACCTGTGCGTTAAAGAGGTTGCGTTAATGGCCATGTTACGATTGCACACGGCTGGTGTAAACCTTGAAGTAGGAATGGATCAATCGAAGCTGAGCCTATGGCGAGAAGCGCTTACTGTACAACCTCTGCTGCACGCAACCAGTGATGCAATTGTACCCAGGTTTGTGTTTAATAAACCCTACAAAATACAAATGAAACAGAACACAGAGTCAGATGCTACAAATGCAATACGCATATATATTTCGTTATTTTTATATTTCATGTTTTTCTACTGTTCCACTAAACCCCCCCCGAAATTGTTTTCTGGCTACGGCCTTGCCCGGGATAACACTTCAGCATATAATGTCCATATATGTAAAATCCCTTTTCACCGTCCCTAGACGCACGCCAGAGAACAATCCCATGTAATTAGTCGACCTCGGAAAAGCGAATTCGATCCGACAGAAAGATAAATCAATCAGAACCGACATCTTACCTGGTAATAGACCATATCGTGCGAAGGCTCCAGCTTGTAATGGGGCGCATTCGATGATTCTCCCATTGGTTCGCTGGTGTTCGTAAGGTTCATGGATGTGGCAACGGCATTGACAAGGTTGCTGCCACCTGCAAAATGAAATTTCGCAACGTTTATAAACTCAACTTATCGCCCATGGTCACGTTTCGTCATTTTCATGATAGTAACCAGTAATTGAAAGCATTTGTCACTTCCGTTAATGCTGGCAATACCAGGCAAAAACGACCTCAAATAACGTTTATTTCAAAAAATCTGTTTATATTTGTTGTAAAATTATATATTATATTATTTATTAAGGTGAAATTCAGTTTTCATTGATTTACCATAATCGTTACACGATTAGTTAATCGAAATTAATTGTTATGTCTGTGGCACATAGCAGTATGGTTTCCACATTTTCTTAAAAATAAAATTCACTAAATTCTGAAATTTTATGAAAATCCGATTTTGTAGTCGGATAAAAAAATATTTGTGGCCCATGTACGTCTTCGTGGGTTTCTTCTTATTGATGTTTATTTGTTACTTTTATTATTTTATATCTCTCAGCATAATGATGATAAATAGACACATTAAGCTATTACCTAATCAATAGTAATTGAAATGGACATGGTTGGTTGAAAATAACAACCCAGTAATATTAACATAACTTTCAAACAACATTTCATAAATCTTTATTTAATACGGAACATAAAAATGGTTCTATTCTGAAATCATTTGTTGAATCTGATTTTCGCTAACTTTAAAATATATTGTTTTCTGCTAAATATATTCAACACTAATCATTTGTTATATCAATGACATCTGACAGTCTTGCCATTTCACATTAAAGAAGTACTAGCATCTGAGAAGTAAAACTATGTATGCTATCATTCGTGAGGCAAAGGTCCTACCAACAGTATAAAATCAAACCCAATAAAAACAAAACAAAAATTCAAGAAGTAATAGAAACGAATATTCTTTTTAAATTCCTCCTCGAAACATTACTGAACTTAAACATCAACCAGCCATAAATAAACTCCGTTAACACATATTGTTGCCAAAACACATTTCCAATTATTTGGAAGCAATAATAAAATGACAACACCATTTTACTACTTGATCCTTCAGATTTTATGTTTTTCGTACTATTAGCATTTTTTTGAACTTTAGAAAACAAAGTCAAGCCACACTGGCTTGACTTCCTTCGAACGGTTTGGACCAGAACCTGTCACTCTAATCGCGTTAGGTTTTGCCAAACAAATACAGATTACCTGGACTCAAGAAGAGTACCAGACTTCCGATAAAATCCACCAGAAATGTGTTACTATCTTCATTCGGGTTTGAAGGCCGTCGTAGCTGCGAAAGCCTTAACCAAGTTACCACCAGGAATGGTCCATTCCTAGGTATCATTAGATGTATGTCACCAGCAAAGATGGCCTAGGTTGTCCAACAGGTTTACTAACATAGATTTAAGCTATCGGAATATCCGGTGTATCGTCTCTGTTTGGGCGATAATGAACAGCAGAGCACATACTTTTCCTGACTGAACATTTCGAAATTTGACAGTTCCATTCTCGCCACTAGAGCCTGAAAGATCATTCTTTAAAAAACTAATCGACTATGAACTCTTTTGGTGGAGTTTCAATTCGTGTGAGCCGCAGTGAACTCTTGCAAATTTCTATGGAGGATTGATTTAGTTACGTTGTCCTTAATATTTTCACTGAAGAAATAGAATCAACTGCGTACTCTTGGTATGATTTATCATTAATTATAATACGAGTTTATACAACAACAAATAAAACATCAGCTGTTACTGTCTACTCTACATGTTATAGGGTTCTCCGGCAAAGCCCATAGTTGCAGATGTTATGAATCACCTTTTTACGAAAAAGGTATTACACGTGGTTCAATTCCAGGACCTATTTAATTTGTTCTTCATACTTGAGAATTCCACAGAAAAGATCTACTTGTCAATGAACCCTGTTACTCAAATGTTATTTCGAAAAAACAAATATCTAGAACTTTTTGGCAAATAGAGTAAAAAGCAACCTATCCTTTTTGCAGACTATTTCAAAAGCCTGGAAGACATTCCATTAATTTGATCACGAATCTACCATTATGTAATTTCAAATTTATATGTTAACAGAAACAGTAACAGTTGCAAAATATGAAATACTAGAGGAATTTTGGGAATTAGGCGGTTACCGCTTGAGTATACGAACAATTTGATTATTATAAAAACAGTATCAACGAAAATATCTTTTCAGATCAGTAAATTCAATCTCATGAAAGTCAACTCACCTAAATTACTATATGGCACTGTAGAATTCAGATCCCCCATTGGCGTAGGCAAAGTGGCGTTGTGCAGGAGAACTCCCCTTTCTGGACTATATGCCATGCTGTGCGGATGGTGGCTGTAATTGTGCAAGGGGTGGTGATGATGATGGCCGAAAGGGTGATGAATATTGCCGGTTTCCGGACTAGGCAGATTCGGAAGTAGACCAGCCAAATCCTGCCATCTTTGTTCCATGCTCATAGCACGAACGAAAGGCATACGACCCTGCAACAAAAATGATTTTGTGTGTCGAATGTACTCTCTCGAACGGTTGTTGGGATACGAAAGAATACTTGTAATAATTTTTGTACTGTAGGGTTTGTATACTCGAAAATAGGCACCTTCAGAAAACTATCACTGATTATTATTCCATCTTAGATATAAACGTCTCTCGAGTTTGGATTAGTGCGTCTCTTGATAAAAACTGAATTAAAATTCATGAATTGGTTTCAACTATTTTTGTTATCTAGATACGTACTTTTATCTACGATCATTATTGAGTTATTACAATTTTTTACACATGATTAAATGACAAATTTGGAGTACATTCAGATTTTGATATGTACCCTTGATCAATTTACCAGCCAGTATTTTGTGAGTATCAATTATCTTAAGAATATCTCATATTTATAGATTCACTTCATTGCTGTGATTTAAAGAAATCAATTTGATAAGATTTGGTTACACATTCGACCAGATCACGTACCATTTATTTTATTGGGTGTGTGGTGCCCAACTTAGATCTCTATAAAAGAATATATTCAATTGCTGAAATTTCAGGACACTGAAAAGTTTTTTTGAACGAAACACATAGTGCATACCGACGAAGAGATGCCTTTCTTTCGAGTAAATTCATTATGATTTTTGTATTACATGGTCACAATATCTCTTAGCGTTTGCAATGTAAGGGCAAAAAATGTGTTTATTTACGACATTCCATTAGAAATTATCTGAATTTACCAGTGTTTCTTTACTATATTATGCATGTTATATACATATAAGCCTTCCTCTTGAATCACTATCTATTAAAAAAAACTCTCATCAAAATCCATTGCGTAGTTTCAAAGATCTAAGCGACTTTGTTTTATAGTATGAAGTGATTAAATATTGATAGTGAAGAAAGATTTTCAAATACAAGCTTTGATTCACCACTTGAAAAAAATACTTGAGTTGAACAACGTGAAAAAACGGAGAGCAAGAACTCAGTTCTGATATTCTCCAACGAACTACAAACAAAAACTACAAACTACCTACTACATCTACCTACTAACTCCTACTGTTAATTATGCCACACTTTATTCCCAGATTACAGAAAGCATCCAAAAGTCTGATGTCATGTAACAATCTCAATTGAGCAATAATACTCTTTTGGTTTGAAAAATCGAATATACTTCAATGATTCACACATTTTTCTTCATTCTATTTTATTGTTATATTATTTCTGAAAGGAGATTCTCAATTCGTAATTACACACCGAAGTGTCTTCATTAAGTCGTAGAATCAATGTGAGCGTTTTCTTAGCGGCGTTTTCAAACTCAAACACAAAAAATTTAGCCATTTTTTGTGGAGGAAATCAAAGTTTTCATCGACCTTTATTTAGATATTTTTATCTTCCATAATCTGAAAAATATGAAAATTGCAATGGATAAATTTATACATGTGCATTAAGGGAAAACTTTTTAGTTCTCATCGATAAGTTCTGATAAGTTTCAACAAAAAAACAGAGTAGCCGCTCTAGGCGTCAACTCCTAGAGTTTGCCTCAGTAGTCAAGAAAATATCCACGCTTTTCAATATTTTGTCACACTGAATAAATGAGCGTCATGTTTAGGTTTTTCGAAGTTGATGAATTATTTCCTGAAATCGGTTTCAAAATTTCTGAAGATAATTCAATTGAACTTACTGGATATTGAAGGAATATTTCGTTTATATATTTTTGATATACAAAAAATTAATAGGCTTACTAAAATGTGAAATTGGTAGAGTGTGTTTTGTTTCGGTTACTATGGCATTATCTTTATCACTTGGAAGTAGTTTAATATTAGTATCTGAACGAAGGGATATTATTGCAATTCTCTCATACAAGTTACTTCTAGTATGATGAATTAGGTCGGTGACAAAATATTTTTAAATTCAGATCTGTAATTACCAGATATTTCAGGAGGGAATTTCAGGGCTGTTTCCTCTGTGGCAGTAACTAATTCAGAGTTACTGAGAAATTCTGCCTTTTCCTGGATAATAATTTTTCATGAGGTGTAAGAATTTTATATGACGAATTAACTTATAAATTGTTGGGTATTTTGTCTATGACTGACATTACAAATTTGATTTTCTACCAATAGTTTTTAAATGTATTGATGTGAGTTCTATTTCTAATCTTAATGAAGAAATTGAAGGATTGTTGAATGCAATTGTAATTTTTTTCAGATTATGGAAGGTGGAAATACCCAAAAAAAAGGTTGATACAAACTATAATTAATTATAGAAACGTAGGCTTTCGCGGCTGGCGTCAATGTTTTGATTGATTTTCGGGTTTTGCCGTGGTCTTCTTTGGTTACAATCTTCAAACGTTTCAACTGAGGCAGTCATCTTCAGTGGATCCAGCTGATACGTCAAGAAGAGTACTTCGACCACGCCACTGGAGATGACTGCCGCCGTTACAGTTGAAACGTTTGGAGATTATGACCAAATAAGACCACGGCAAAACCCGGAAACCATCTATAATTTATTACTTTCAGTAAAACTCTTTGCTGGAACAAAGTGTAGAAAATAATAATTCGTTTCCCAAAATATAAATAATGTTTGTTATATTCAATTGTTTCATACGACTCCCAATTAATATTATGTATATGACAGCTCATACCACGAATCAATGAATATATTTTATACATACGACCTGTCCCGGCTTTGCACGGCTAGCAACGCTGAAATAAGAAAATAACTCGAATTTATGCAACCTTTAGTATTGTTTAATTATATATGTTGATATTAAACATACTACAGTGTTATGAACAAATTCAAACAGTATTTCTTCAGGGACGTATACAGCAAAAAACAGATTTCTTGTATAACTTGAGAATTAAAAAAAAAATTATTGTAATGTACATGCACGAGTTGCCCTGAATATTTCGTTTTTCTGAATTATGTAACAGTTCTCCAAAGTTTTGCAAGGAGTTCATTGTGGATCATACAGAATAACAATAAACTTTCGAAGATATGATCTGAATCTACGTTTCTTAATTAACTAACATTTGAAGGTTACTAACTATTTTTTATGAAAACATTTTTCTCGATATTGATAATCAACGAGTGCATTTTCATTGCAATCAGGATACTTAATTAAAAGTTGTTTTCAATACTTCATTTATATTGCACCTTTCTTTGTCTGGTGAACTTAGAGGGTATTATCATATCCTTCACAAAAATAAATTACCCCACCTCTACGGGGACACAGTCTACATTTCTTTACTTAAAAAATTAATACAAAAAATTGATACGGTCTCCAACGTGTTGTTTTCCTTGGTCGATTCGATTCAGAAAAGTAAGCACTTGACACAACCGACCGCAGACAGGTAGGAGAAGAGTCGAGAGTGACTTTTGTCACAGTGGGACACCTGATTCAGGAAGATATTCATTCCCACGAAAATATGTTGCCGTCGGATATGTTGAACAAACACAAACAGATGCGATGCACTGAGTTCCTTTATAGACAAAATTAATCGTTTCTCTTCGATGACACTATAACAACAATACTCGATGGTATCGAATAGCCATAGATTCATAATTAAGGATAGTGTTACGTGGAATGTTGTTTCATATAAATTGATAATAAAAAAACAGTTTTTATATACATGCTTCAAAAATGAAAAAATAAATTAAATCAAACCCATCAATTCAATATATTACACAAGCGATATGATATGTAAGCTTGTCGCGAGAACTGATTATTTCATATATCTTTTTTTTCAAGGACAAACCACAAGCACTACAGGAAAATCCATAAGACGCTCATAAAGCGGTGCCAATGCGAAAGTAGTGATTCACATTGAATTTGAATCGCTGGACATTAAATCCACTTGGAAAAACGTTCTCGAGAAGTTTATTCCATATAAACGTCGTACATATCAGAAATACGCGACAGTCCGTTGCGTATTTCTGATATGTACCGCTCTTCGTGGAATCAAATGTGCCAAGTCACAAGACACATCTCCAACCTTTCTTCGATGTTCCAGACTATCAAGGTTGCAAAGTGATGTTCTCGTCTCCAATCAGACGGGTGGTTTTTTCTGGATAGAATCCAGCAGCTTCAGGGTATGTTTGGGGGCGGAGCTCTATACCTGAGAACAATACTTCAAAGAAGGTTTGACCGGAGCTTTATAAAGCATCAAAAATTACTGAGGTGTGTACAGTTTTCTACTTCGGAACAGTGTTCCAAGCTTTTGAGAAGCAGCCTTTGCAATTCCAGCGACTTGATTGTGCCAAGACAAATTGGTGTCCATTTTAACCCTCAACAAACTTATCGGAGCAGAAAGCGGAATTGTCTGACCTGACATTATTATATCCGGTTCGGAGACATTAATCTTCTTGGAGAAAACCAATCTTCTTGGAGAAACCCGATGCCTAGGTTTCTGTGGCACTGAATTGAACCTGGTTATTTTCACCACAATTCGATCCTCATCAAGATATTCAAACCTCCTGCTGCCGGTGAAGATGTGCTTCCGTAGCCGATGTCCTGGGCTCCAAATATAATGACGTAATAAGTGAGTCACATATTCAATTCTTGTTTATCTATATACACGCAAATACCCCGACAAGCTTGTATGACATATAAATTGTAATAAATTGGCAAATAAAAGCAAGCGACAATCTCAAATATTTCCCCTTTTTAATGGGTAGTTTAGAAGCAACCTTAAAATATTTATTCGCGGATGCTGAGCTTCATAATTGTTATTGTCTGAGCAGAAATTCACTGAAACACTATATCTCTTATCAATAATAATCTAAATGGGGAAATGTATGCTGAATTATTGGGTTGTAGGTTAGGACTCTAACATATTGAGAGAGGAAAAAATCAAAATCCGAAAGGAAAAAATGTATGTTGTTTCTTATTCCTAGTTACAGTCCCTCCAAAGGTCCGAAAATTGCAACTTTTCCACCTTCTTTTTGCATAATACAAATTATAGAATAACACAAATATTTACTCACCACATCACCTTCACATCTTATT